GATGACCTGTTCTTAAGTAATTGAGCTCAAATGCAATTATTGCCTCCATGTCTGATGGGACTGTGGCTACATTAATCAAAAGACTACTGTCTGTCCTTCTGCCTGCCTACTTTACAGTAATAATATTTGACACTGAGATTAAAAAGCATTAGTGAAAATGGAGAATTCTGTTGATTTATTTAATTATTTCCCGTTAATGGATGTTAAAACTAGTTAATAGCCTGCTCACTCCCACACTCACTCCTTCGCACCTTCACTCACCCACTCACTCATTCCCTTGTGCCTTTTGTAATTCACAACAAGAGTACATTTCAATTCCATCCTTGTTATTTATAGGTTCACTTGTGTTGGGACATCTGTGAAACCTGAGAATCAGATCGAGGAGTTTTTTCTTCCCTAAATAGAAACATCTCCTCTCTTTGAGTTGTGTAGATACTTTTGACCATGTTTTTATGTACTTATACACACACATACCACAGTGTTTTTGTGATCTTGGAGGGAAGTCGGTCTGTATGGACATGTGTTCACGCAGAGTTTGAAGATGAGTTTGTTTGTTTGTGTGTGAAGACAGCTGCTTTGTGTCCGTCAAAAGCAGCACCGCATTCCCCGCAGTGTCCTTTGAAGTCAGGCTCTCTTACACACTTGTATGTACACACACAGAAGCAGCTTTTTCTGAGTCATTAGTCACCTCTTTCAGACTCTCGGTCTGTGTGGTAAAGTAGAAGTAGCACTTACAGTCAGAGAAGAATCCTTTTAAATGTGCTCATGTTAAGAATAAAACGGTATCAGGAGAAGGAACAACTGACTTTAACAGGGTGAAGTGAGTAAAGTGCCCACAGAGCTTTACACCAAAATACACTTAGTGGATTTTTCAGTCTGAAGGGGCTACTAATCCTACACACAATTCATTCCTTGGGGATTTATTGTTTGGTGCTATTGTAGACAACAGCAACAATCCCTGGGGCAACTTGTCACGATATCAAAGTCATATTTAAAAATAAAATCATCACCATAAACCACTGCACACTAAACTGAAATACTGTGATTTCACTAAGAGCGAACAACGGGTTTTGCCCCTGGCTTCTTCAAGTTCACTCAAAAGAAGAGGCCAGGATGATTGTACTTAAGTATTAGGACTCTGATGATGATGATTTTATCTGAGATGTTCCTGCGGCCAGCCAACACCTGATCCTTGAGACTGGCTGTGCAGAGGGAGTTCTGTTTACTTATATTTAAGACTCTTGCATGAAAAAATCTTCTACCAGCACAAAGTATGAAGTACAATATAGATAAAGAAGTATTTCAGGGGCGCAGAGAAGTTCATCTGGTAGAGCAGGAGCCCCGTGTACAAAGGCCATGCCCTTGCTGCAGCGACTGCAGGTTCGATTCCAACTCGGGCCTTTTGCTAGAATTCAGTATGCTGCACCAGACCAATAAGCAAAAGACCAACTTAATGCAAGTGTCCTGTCTGGAAACAATATGGCAGCTAGCTGGTAACAAATTATCTGGTATTACAGTTAAACAGCAACTAAAATATGTTTCTGAAAACCTTTTGGGCAAGAAATAGGCAACACAGTAACAGAATCTAGGTTTATATTTGATCAGCACTGCTTTGTTTTACCATTTGATCTGAGTTTGGATATAACTTTAAGAGAAAAAGAGAGGGTCTCTCTTGATTGGCTTCTATACTCTTTAGCCCCGTTTCCACCAAACACTTTTGGTATGGTACCTTTGGAACCTAAAGTAACCCTTCAGATGTGGTACGTAGACCCTAGCGTTTCCACCACAAACAGTACTCTTTCATGTGGGCAAGGTTGTTTTTAGCCTGGTGAAACCAACCTGATCTCGCGAGCTCATGTTCTATTTTGCTCCGCAGATCAGGCTGGCCATGGAATCATAGACGCGAATTCTGGCATCGGTTTTGGCTTACCGGGCCAATCACAACCATTTATTACTTTGGGGCGGGTTATTTGAAATCACGTCATCAGAATAGGAGGGTCAAGGAGCGGAGTGAATGCATTTCGTAAACAACCAACATGGCTACTGATTTTGAAACTGCTATGGTAAATGTGTTGAACAAACTGGAATGTATGTTTTCTTTAAAAGCAGAGCAAACGGCTGCACTGAAAGCTTTTATTGAAAAAAAGGATGTGTTCGCCGTCCTTCCTACAGGGTTTGGTATAAGTTTAATTTACCAATGATGGGACTCAGGACAGACCCATTCACGTTTTGGGAATTGGGTCTGGCAATGCCAGGCTAGGTTGTTTTCACTCACTGCTCCGTACAGCACTCACTGTATGTCCTCCTTTATCAGTCTGCACCTTGTTTATCGTCCACAGGACGAGGTTGCATGCCGACATTTTCGGAACAAAATAAAACGGGCTGCAGTGAGAGTCTCTCTACATGGGATATTTAAGAATAGCGGGATTGTACATTTTAGTACTTTTCGGGCAAGCTCAGGGTTTTAGTGTTGCCGGAGACCACAGGAACAACACTCTGCGACGCTTTTTTCTCTGTGTGAGGGTTAGAATATATGTAGTTCATATATCCCGGTTAAAATTTATATATATATGTAAACGCTTGAAGATCCACAAAACCAGCCACAACTCAGCCCTGAGCAGAGTGACCGTCTGCTACTGACCAATCAACAGACTGCAGTGTTCACAGCTCCACCTTTTAGTACCAGATCTGTGTGCTAGGTACCCCAACAGAGGGGGGGACCAAAAGTGGGGACAGTACGGAACACTTCCATTGGTAGCATCCACAACTTTTCACAGTGAAAACAGGAAACAAAGTGTACCAAACTGAACTGTACCATCGGTGGACACGTGGCTTATGTGTCCTAATGCGAAGTACAATCTGTAGTTGGAACAGCAGACCCACAGCAAGCCAAAATCCACCTGATAGCGCAGTTTGAGCTGGGAAATGAGCAGGGAGATCTGGGGTGCTAGTAAGATAGAAGTTCACCACAGTTCACACACACATACTACTCACATTGTTATGATACAAAGCCGGTTAAAAAGAGGCAAATTATCCCTTTAACTTTAGGTGAAGATGATATGAAAATAGAAATAGGAATCTTAGAAGGCAAAAATACCAAACAAGATGGAAATAATATTCATTCGACTGATGAAAATGAAGCAACATTGTGTTAATAGTCTTTTTTATTTCAGTTCTATTGTTTGTCGAGTGGAGTAATGGTTCAGAGACACAAATGTAATTCCATATTAGCTGTTTTTTAGGGCTGTTTGCAGCCACTTAGTGATTTCTATTGATATTTCTCTTGCTTTGATACTCAGCACTGAAGTATTCAGGCAATGTTAAAGAGCATAGAAACTTCTCTACCCGTAAATCCTTTGGGTTTGATTTGTTTATTAGTTACCAGAAAACAGAAAATATAGCCTTAATGAACTCAAAGCCTTCCCATCTAAATGTAGAGAAAATAACGGAGGCATGAGTGTTATGTTCGACCAGGGCCAAGTCTGCTTTTTTTTTTCTTTTTGCTTTTGGTGCTGTATTAAATGTGGAAAAATACACTGTTAGTAGACTTTATGTCTGTTCGGTGGACATGCACAGCCTCTAGATGCTGATAGAAAAAATGAGGCCTTTTACCAGAAATGTGAGTCAGTGAATGTTCTGGATAAGGAAAGAAAAAAATCGATGCCGCTTGTGTTTAATCACACTTTAGTTTATTTCATAATGTTGTTGAAAGTTTCAGCGTTTGGTAACAAGCTTGTTGCAGGAAAGCAGGTCAATACAGTACGTTTCACATAATGGGCTTGTTACTGAGAGAGAAGGTGTGTGTGTGTGTGTGTGTGTGTGTGTGTGTGTGTGTGTGTGTGTCACTCTTTCTCCGTCTCCCTCTCGCTGGCTCTGTCAGTCTCTAAGCGTGCAGGCTGGTATGCCTTCTCTCTCTCGGGATGGCCCAGATCTGACAACACCTAGGCCTACACCCCATGCAGGAAACCCATCCCACTGAGACAAGTTGCTGGTCATGTACTGTGTGTGTTTTTGTGTGTGTTTGAGCCGCTGCCAGCTCTTCATACAAACAGGACATATTTTAAAGAGCGAACACAGATTCACTTAATTCTCATAATTTACACTATAATCCTTCCACTATCAGCCTTCACTTCCCCCCTTCCTGGCACTATCATGAAGCAGTGCTTATTGACGATTCCACTCAAGCCATATTTTCTCATAAAACTTGTATTGCATTCGTCCCCCACTCTGTCACCGGCATTGATTTTGTCCAATTTTGTAATACCCACCCTGCTGACGGCATTAGCGCCCACTCACAGTGCCACAAAATGCCGCCGTAATGGCTTTTCTCTGAAATTTGTGCTCGTCTGCAGGTTCACTCAAGGACAAAGTGCAAGTGAATCGGTTTGGATAAGTGTTTCCTTTTATGTCAGATGGATTTAGTTCCGAGAAGAGTGTGAACTGAAGGAGGAGGAGGCGTTTCTTTAAGGTCAAAATGTTCGCTCGGTGCAAACTCCTCAGTGACTTCTCCTCTTTCTCTCTCGCCTCCCACCTTCTTCTTCATCATCTCCTCTAATATTATCCCTCCTTTTACCGTCATATCTGTCTGTCTCGCCCTGATGATTTCTTTGAGGATCCCTTTTCCACCTGTCTTCCTATCTGTTATGTGCCTCACTGGTATTTCTCTATTAATGCTTTCTTTTCACTCTTTGATTTCCGCTCTGCTGAGAGGAAATTGCTTCCGATAATGACCACAGCAGAGGAGCTGATGACAGTGACCTCTGATTCAAATGTTATATAACGGTCTGGAAACACCACAGCGTGATGTGAATTTCGCCAGAAAGCTTGTGAATCACTCTTGAATCTTAGTTATTGAGTTAATGTGTACTTTAAGACTGATTAGCAGGATCAAATTTATACCATATTAACTGTGTTTTACTGGAACCATGGACGTAACCTTTATTTATATAAACTGTAAGTAAGTTAGTAAGTGAGTCATTTGTCAATGACTTCCTCAACAGGTTAACAACTATGTGCAGGACAGAGAGGAACTCCACCTGATTCATCCTGCCAAAAAGCTCCTGCTGTCTTGCCCTGGATGCGTGTGTCTCAGGGAGTCTCATCGGCCGTCGCACCCTCTCAGCACCAGCCCAGACAGACCGGGCCTGAACCCCTGTCTCAAGTCTGGATGTTGTCACCCTTCTCACTCACCTAGGTTTGTCACCATTTGTTTTGTTTAATAAAGTTTTTCTTAACTTTATACCAGTATTTGGTCCATCATGTGATGAAGAGATAGGAGTCCTGGAGATACTGTAAATTTGTTTGTTGCAGCTTCTTTCCCATATGACGTCACTGACAACATTTTCGTGCTGTTCAGATGAAGGACAGGCAACTTGAGGCAACGACTACCACACTGTACAAATGCCCATGATTTGCGCTGTTTGCGACTCTTCCAATTTATCAAATCAGAAGAAAAACGAGTCTTTATGAGCCCCAAAAGTATCAGTATCAGAATGTAAAAAAAAACGCCTTCCTTGGACTCACTGTAAAATTGGAGGTCTTGAGGATGCGATAAATTACGACGATTGATTTCATCCAAGCTGGTCAAATAGGTCAGACTGTGGGAAAAATCATATTTCTTCAATTTGTAATGATCACATCCAATAAGAGTTTCAGTTTTCTGATGGTACCTGCTGCCTACAAGTTTATCAGACCATTTTATGTATTTACTTGCCTCTATTTTGCAGGTTGCACAGTGTATGGATTTATCACTTCCTGCCCTCCATCCCCATTTTGCGCATTGTAATCGTCACATTATTGCAGACAAGCTTTTAACAGTTAAACATTAAGATAATTAAGCAAACGTAGCTGATTAATGGTTATGTACAAGTGGAAAAATTGATATCGTAAGTTGCAGCAGCTGCAGTGTGTATTGGTAACATAAAACGCAGGGTTTCCCCACACATTCATTTATTTGTGGCCCACTGCCTCAACATTAGCATCCGTCGCCACATATGGATTTTGTAGTTTTGGAGCTACATGTCTCTCTTGCTCACAGCTGAACTTACTCAGGCGGAGCAGCAGAGCACCAAGTGCAGTAAAAGTGAAACTTAACTGTTCTTTGAATAATGTAGTTGTAGTATTGTCTGTTTTTTTTTTTTTTTTTTTTTTTTTTAAGCCTAGTTTAGATGAAACATTCTGCATTCCCATGGATATCACGCACACTGCAGTCCAGTGCTGGGTGCAGCCTGTGTATCAGCAGCAGAAAAGAGTTTGCTCGCCTCTGCAGCAGCTGCTCCTCTAATCCATCAATTTAATCTGATCGATCCGACCACAAACTGATCAAAAGGGAGTCTTGAAGGTGGTAGTCAAACACTTTGTTCCTTAATCATCCACCCTGTGACTCAAACTCAACAGACTGCTGCTGATGAAAAAGATAAAATGTCATGAAAAGTGTTGCTTGTGCTGCGTTCATGGACCCTTGTGAATTTGTGAGTGCAATGTGGCAGTCTTTCATGATGTGTTTATTGCGCAAGTTGACACTGGGCCTGACAGAAACGTTCAGATTATAATTAAACTTGATTTTTCATTTCCACTTATTTGTTTCTAGGTTTTATCTTGCCTGTGGCCAGCGGACGTCGGTGTGTTCGCTTCTGACCGGAGCTCTGCTTGAGGCCACAGCAGCTCTCGGTGCCCGCTCCGCTCTGCCCTACCCTTTGCCCCAGGCCCCCAACAGCCACGCTGTGCTGAAAGGTGGGTGTAATACTGTAGTGTGTTTTATTTATTTGCTTATTTGAGTGTGCAAAAATTTGTCTTTTGTGTATAATTTGTGATCCAGCAATAGTATAAAACCCAGATCATACATACATACAGTATGTACAGTATGTGTTGATCTGCTAAATAGAGGAGCATTATATCTGATGACAAGTGAAGCGGGGACTTTGGGCAGAGCTTCTGTATCTGTTTGATTCTGAGAAGAAAAGGTTCTCACTATTCCCCTGTGGTCTACAGCTCCACTCTTTCCTCTTCCTCTCTGCTCCTTTCCCACACGGCTCCTCATCCACAGCGGGTTTTGGGTCGGTAAAAGCACGTCTGTAGTTGATCCCAGTGGTTTGCCCTTTCCTTTTTACTTTTCTCTTCATTTCCTTTGCTTTCCTTTCTCCTACCATCCTCCCTGCGTTCAAAGTGGTTCAATGAGCACAGCAAGAAGAAAAAGCCTCCTGACATCACAGGGTCCACACAGCTCTGACACACACATACACACAAGGTTATGTCTTTACATCCGACAAAAGGTTATATGCACTTCAAACATGCGCCTGTGTTTTTTACATAAGAAGACAACATTCATATGCCTGCTTTTCATTGTACTCGAACCACATAGCAGCAGCTAACTCTGCCACTGAAATGTCTTGAGACAGACATAAACATGTTAATTCCTAAAACTTAATGAGACAAGAAAAAAGATCTCATCATGCCTACAGTATGTCATCTCTTTGTCTCTCCTACTCTCCACATGACTTCATCCTCCAACCAGTCGCGCTGTTGGTCAGTCGCTCAGCTGGTAACTGTCTGTCCACCTTCTCTACAATGATGTTACGTATGACATAAATGTAAGCCGATCCTGACATTAATTTCCACTGGCTTTTGTCCAGGGGACAGGCTGTCTCTGGCAAGATCAAGGAGACGCTCACACACACACTAACATGACTTTTTTGCATTTGTTTCTTTGCTGCCCTCGTTTTTATCAATCATGTTAACAACGAAAACTTTGACTAGAGAACAAGACAAGCTTTTGGAGAGCAAAAAGATTCACACACAGACACACACACACACACACACACACACTGTAGCAGCACATATCTTTAACATGACACCGTGTTCTGTTCTAATGGGTGTTGCAGGAAACAGAATAGAGCCAGGCACGCGCACACATAGCAGCTTAGAAGTCTTGGCAGGACTAGGGTTTCATAGGCGCACACTCACACACAGCATGAGAGACTCCCTGTCTAACTTTCTCTGTCTCGCTATCTTAGCACCAAAGCTTCCCAGATATTACCACACTGCTGTGTTCTTAAAAAGTTATCCGTTTCCAGTCTGTCATTCACGTTTGTCTTTCATGGAAACCACCTGTGTGGCTGTGCCGTTTGAATGAATTGACATGTATACTAGAAATTGGTGTCTGTCTCCAGAGATGATAGTGTCCCTGTAATAGAGACACATACTGTAGTTTTGGTGTTTTAAAAGTTGCTGAGTGCTGTGTTGGAAGCTTAAAAAGAACCAACAAAAGAGTGGCTTTAGAAAAAGCTATTTAGCAAGAAATAACTTCTTCAGCTGTCTCCAAATGGCGTTTTTAGATGGGGCATAGTTTTTCAGAGGACTTTGTTTGTAAGATTAAAGTAATTTTCAGATGTCATAAAAGACATTTCATTATCCTGAAGCTTTGGGAAGGTCAGACTTAAGTTTCACATTTGGATAGTGCTTGTGTAGTTATTGCTTTCTTACCATTTATGGTGTTGTTCCTCTCTTCAGTGTTTCAACAGAACAACCTGCTCGTCTTCTCTCCTGTGTTAGTAAAAAAGCTTTTTCTCAATCCAACTTCAGTTTAAAATGAACATAAAACCCCCTAAAAAGTTGCCAGCAAACATTAAGTGTGAATGGTAAATGGACTGCACTTATATAACGTTTTTCTACCTTGACAGACAAAGCGCTTGTGTCTGTTTATTGACTGTACAGTCTTGGAACCAGGACGCCCCTTGTGCCTGTTGAATAAAGAGATCTATCACGCAGTTTCGGGTCAGTCTTTTCAGTTTGATACCAGCTTCTGCTAGCTTTACACAAAGAATAGGTATGAATAGGTATGAATCTGTCACACAAAACTGACTGGGTTTGAAATAGACATTGGACTTTAGAAACACAGTGTGACACCACTGTCTGTCAAAGTGGTCCAACTCCTCTGGAAATGAAAAGTTCTTTTTATTGTCCCTGGTGAGGGTCACCTATATGTCAAGTCTACAGAGGAGCTTTTGTGTTCTCTCGCCATACATTTCCTCTCGTTATTTCTCTTTGCCTTTATCCACTTCCTGAAGAGAAAGAGTGAAACTTACTTTTTTCCCTGTATCCTGGTGGTAATTGCTTATCACTGGTAAAAGCTCAGATGGATTTTCATGTTGAGGTCTTAGTATTGAGGAATACACATGTTTATTTTGTGTTGCAAGTGTTGGATTTGAGAGATGCTAGATATTCTTTACAGTATATCTTATTTTAGAGTGAAACATGTTGCAGTGGTTTCATGTGTCTCTGTATCTTTGTGCTGCACATGATTTTTAATTTGTTCTCCAATAGCTATCATATACTAGTCAAAGGGCTGCAAAAAATGATCATCTCTGCCCTTTTTTTTATGAATCAAAGTAGTAGAATATCCAAAAGTAGTGAAACATGCCCTGTATAATTTCACAGATTCCAAGCTGACTTCTTGAAATTGTATATTTTATCCAACCAAAGTTATTCACTTTATTATTGTGTAAGACAAAGAAAAGCATCAAATTATTACATTGAAGAAGCAGGAAACCAAAAATCTTTGGCATTTTTGCTTAGAAAATTACTAAAATGATTATTCTAGTATTATAGTTGCCATTTAATTTTTGTTTGATCGACTAATGAATTAGAGCCTTTTTTTCTGACCTACGGTGTCTTTTTTTCAATTGTTGCCAATGAAGAGAGAATGCTGCTGCCTAGAAAAAGTGACGCTCCTAGCATCTTTATTTCAGTGTGCTTTCGGCTTTTTTGTGCTTTGGCCACATAAAAGGGTGGCACAGTGGTGCAGTAATAAGCATTGTTTGTAGCTCTCCCAGCGTCATTGTGGGTTTTCTCCAGGTACTCCAGCTTCCTCCCACAGTCCAAAGACATGCAGGTTAACTGGTGACTCTAAATTGTCCGTAGGTGTGAATGTGAGTGTGAATGGTTGTCTGTCTCTATGTGTCAGCCCTGTGATAGTCTGGTGACCTGTCCACGGTGTACCCTGCCTCTCACCCAGTGTCAGCTGGGATGGGCTCCAAGATATTGTTGTCAGAGAAACATACCCTCGTGGAGCACATATGAAGCACTGGGATGAAGTGCTCCCCAGCACCCTGCCACTGCTTTTTTGCTGAAGAAAAACTATAATCAACTAATCTTTTCAACTCTACTAAGTCACAACAATGAGATACAGATGTCCTGATTAGATTCAGGATTCAAGAGGCTTTATTGTCAATTCTACAGTTATGTAACAGACATACAGAGAATCAAAACAATGCGTCACTCTGAATTGACCCATGGTGCAGACATTGCAAAAGAATAATATAATATAATAATATAAATAAGGAAGTCAAAGAGAATAGAAGAGGTAATACAAACTTGAAAATAGATTACAATTAAGTAGTGCAAAGATGTAACTGCAGTCAGTTTAAATTGTGTAAATGTACACAAGAAAACACCTTTTTTTTTTGTTTTCTTGTGTACATTATTCCTACCCCTATCCTATTCTGTCTTGGGATCCCTTCACATTGATGAATTTATGGTGCGCCACAAAAGTTTTGGAGCTGGACTGCTCATTAGGAGTGCTGTTGGAATATTTATTATGTACCATCGTACCGTTATTCAGAGCACCACACTGCACAGACGGAGCAGCAGAAATCCAGGCGCAGTGAAAGTAAAACTTTATTAATTCATATAAAAACAGAACACTCTATTTCTTAGAGCACATAGCTCTTACCTTAGTGTCGTCCATCATTTTTCCAGCCTACTTTAGATAAAACTGACTTAATTGTTGTGGAAACCGATGGTCCAGCATTGGATCTATAAAGTTCTCACTCGCCTCTGCAGCAGCTGCTCCTCTAATCCATTGGTCTGATATTATCACCTCTGATCAATCTCACCACAAACTGATTGACTGATTGGTTCTCTACCCCATGACTCAAATTCAACAAACTGCTGCTGAGGGAGATAAACTCATGTAGAGTTTTGCCTGTGCTACGTTCATGGACTTGCAAAAACTCTTTGAATTCAGAGAGGGGACACAGGATGATCACAAAGAGACACACACACGTCATTCGCAACACACAGATTCTGATTCTGTGAGAAACACTGGTGTCCTAATAAGGAGATTCAGTATAGTGGTAGCAAACTTGGGCTGGAAGTACATCTTAACAAACTTTTGGCTTTGGCCCAAATGCTTTCAAGGATTACTGGGATAATCACCTTGCCAACCTCGGTGTATTCTAAGAGTTTTTATGGGAGTGGTGAGAGGTGGAATGTTTTTCTAGACCTTCTCTTTGTGCCACATCCACTGTAGTTATCTGAACCTACTTTGCTGGTTCCTCTGATATATGTAAATGACTTATGTCTTCTTGTACCATAGCAGCTGGTTGGTTTTAGTAGCGGATCAGGAGGAGCGGTTTGGAGATGATAAATTATGTTTTACTGGTTGAGTTGGCACATGTCCGGCGCAGGCTTTGTTGTCAGGGTAAACTATTGACACCTATGAAGACAAATACTGGTGATGGAAAAATGTTAACGGAGTATGACAAGGGTAAGGTCAAGGTTGTTTGTGTGTGTCCTGCTTAAACACAGGGGTAGAGATACTGAGAAGTAGAGAGGTCATAAATCACTGCTAAATGTGTCAGTAATTACAAGCAGTTGTTTTTGTTACATGGAGCTTGTCTTGGTGAAATGTTTGAAATTTGATGCTCGCCCAGTCCACATCAGCTTTAATACTG